TTGATATGATGAGAAAAACTGTCTACATTACACATATTGCTATGTAAATGTGTCTTTTCATCTGGCAAATATAGTCACTGAGGTGTGGAAAGTTGGTGTTCTTGTGTTGGGGGGATTTGCTCATTAACATTGGTCAGCATTTTGTAAGTTGCAGTATTGAGTCACTGATCTGCTTGAAAATGTCCAGCGCTGCCTAGAAATATTAATCCTTCCATTATTCTAAGTGAAATATTCCTCCCCTTTCTGAATTTTGCCACAGCAAGAGAAGGGTACTAAATGAGCTATACTTATATCCTACATTATGTGTGTCCTTCAGTCTCAGAATGACTTCAGTCCTCAAGATCAAAGGATGGCTCACAATGGAGATGAATTTCCTACCCATCGTGTGATTTCTGGCCACAGGCTCTCCTGTGAACATGCATATTCTTTTCCTGAGCCAGACTCAGAAAACCCCCAACAGATAGTCCCATTGGGTAATAAAAACCTTATTAAACCATTTGCATTGAGGACTGCTTGTTCTGCAGCAATAGCTAGCCCTTGCAATAACTAAGGGAACAGAGCTGACAGTAATTGTAATAAAGTGCCAGTAAACACACACACACACACACACACACACACACTAACATGGTTCTCACCTTGCCTACTTGCTTGAGTGGAGGGCCCAGCAAACTTCTGTGAAGGGGCAGATAGTCAATGTCTTAGGCTTCACAGGCCACATGGTCTCTCACCATGACTCAGCTCTGCCATGGGGTTGGCAGCCATCATAAATACCAAAGGAGCAGGTGTGGCTGTCTCCCAATAAAACTTTACTTATGGAGACCAAAATTTGAACTTGATGCAAAACCACAGTGAGATGCACTTCACACCCCAGAATGAACATAGAGAGGCAAAGACTGCAGAATCCCCCTTGAGGTGGAACCCAGAACTGCTGGTGTCTGGGGAGCAGAGAGGAGACTAATGGTTACCAGGGCTGGACAGGGAAGAGGAAGGGTAGTAGAGGTCGTCAACAAGCACAAAGTCACAGTCAGGAGGAATGCGTTCTGGTGTTCTGTTGCATTCTAGAGTCACTAAAGCTAATCAGAATGCAATTTTTTTTAAACTAGAAGAGAAAATTTTGGGTGATCTCAACACAAAGAAATGATATGGATACATATCATACATTTAGGATACACATTTGACAATGGCTCTGAAATGATCATTACAGATTATTGACAATCATGTCATGAATAAGTAATATAAAAGTAACATATCTTAAAAAAGAAAATAATAATATTGGTGAGGATGGGAAGAATCTGGAATCCTCATGCACTACTCCTGGGAATGGAAAATGGTCCAGCCAGTGTGGAAAACAGTTGGGCAGTTCCTCAGAAGGTTAAACAGAATTATCACATCACACAGCATTGCAACCCCATCCATGTGCACCCCAAAGAATGGAAAACTGGGACTCAAATGAATGCTTGCACACCAATGTTCATAGCACATATTTAATGCTGAGTTGCAGAGGCTGGTTTTAAGCTTGCAATCCTTCTGCCTCAGCCTCCTGAGTGACTGGGACAAAGATAAATTTATATGTTCTTTACTGAAAAAAAATGAATTGCAAATAAATACCCAGCAATCAAGGAAACTGAAATTCATTTTTTAAAGGGAGCTAATATCTCAAGCACTAGATCAGGAAAGTCTGCCAAATTGATTATGTTCAATAGTTGTTAGACCAGCAGTAAAATGGATATTCTTAAATGTTAGATTTTTGAGTCAATTTACATAGACACTTTATTCAGCAATTTGGTACCAGTTATGAAAATTTAAGTGGAGCGTACCTAAGGCCCAGCAATCACACATCTTTTAATCTACATCACATTAAACAATCCCACGTTTACAGAAAGCTCTAAGGTTTGCTGCAGTATGTTTGCAAGGGTGAAAAATTTCATAACATACAAGCAACCATCAATAAAGAATAGCAAAATAAACAGGGTATGTCAGTATAAATTTTAAAAATAGCACACACCTGTCCATATTATAGCTCATATTTTAAAAAAATCTCCAATGGGAAAGGCCAGTCGAAATATAATGCATATGGTTTTATCAAATTAATACTAACAGTATAATATTGTATCTTTACAGGTGCAAGGTGAACAGCCTGAGTTTAGGAGAAGTGATTTGAAAATATAACAGCTCCCTTCGGGAATATGAGATTTTTTTCAATAGCATATACTTATTAATATTATTTAGTTGCTACAAGTGTCAGCTTAGAGCCTGAGGGAGAACAGATATCATATTCACAACAGATGAGATTTCTGCAAGTGAACTCAGATTGGGCCAGAAAGCAATACAGAATTTGTGTAACCTGGGGGCAGGGACATTCAAACCTACAGTGAATGCATGCCACACTAGCACACTTAACAATAAAGACTGCAAAGAATAAGGTGGCTTCTGGGTATTCAAAAGAATAGCCTGATTTTTCACAGCAACTACCCATTTAATTTCAATGTATTTATGAATCATACAGAAAACATAATACTAAAATTTGTAACAAACCATAGTAGTGTGTGGACCAGGTGGCTCTGCGGGACCTTCCTTCTCAGACTTTCCAGGTGTCAGTGTTGGGAATGCCAAGTCTTGTCTCTGGTTGGGGACATGGTGCTTTTGGTGGAAAGGAAACAGTAAGACACAAACTTACACAGACTCACCTTCTCCCTGCCTCTGAGGAGACTCACATGTTGGGCTGTTTGACTTCTCCTGTCCCCATCTACTGAAGCCCTGATTTGTATATTTAATCATGAGCCTTGTTTTCATGTGAGTTACACAAGTAAGTGTAGTGATAGTTAATAAATAGATAAGTCTATTCATTCTGAACCAAGGTCCTTATAGGGCATGAAGACCAGGAGAATGATCCTTCATGCTTGAGCTTCTAATGCACAGTGTCCACCTTCCTGTCTCAGAAGATGGGAGTCACGCCAAAGGAGATCATCAGCACAATTATTACCCAAACTAAGCAAATATTTGGAGATCTGAGAAATTTACGGGGAACTGATCAGAGGAAGAAAGCATCCAGACCATGATTTCCTCGCTGTGGTCAACTTCGTCACGAGTCATATTTAAACAGGAAGCATTCTTAACTCCAACCAGAACCAACGTCCTCCATCACTGGGCTGGCTGGTCTCGGCACCATGAGGAGTGGATGTCTAAGACTGCTCCATGGTAAGTGGAAACGTGACATGTGACAGGCAAGAAAGGGAGCTAGGAGCCACCAGCAAGTCCTTTGCTTCATTTCTGCCTGGTTTTCTCACTGTCCATGTAAGGGAGAGCAGGGAGGGTATTTGTAAAGGATGTCAGCTCTTTTTTTAAATTATTAAGTTCTCAAAGGAGAAAGTTGTTCCTAGAAAGTTACTACCTAGAGCAAACTTCAGCACCCAGTGGGGATTTCTCATTTATTCCCTGATGCAGCAGGGCTCTCTGGATAAACGGGACCAGTGGGGCACTACAGAGATAGGAGAAGATGTATATTTTAAGGATAAGGCTCATGCAATTGTGCAGGCTGAGAAGTCCATACTCTGCCAGGTAGGTGCAGGATGGAGACCAGGGAGGAAGTGGCAGGATGGAGACCAGGGAGGAGGTGGCAGGATGGAGACCAGGG